GTTCCCCCCTGAGTGCCCACCTGTGTTCCCCCCGAGTGTCCACCTGTGTTCCTCCCTGAGTGCCCACCTGTGTTCCCCGCTGAGTGCCCACCTGTGATCCCCCCTGAGTGCCCACCTGGGTTCCACCCTGAGTGCCCACCTGCATTCTCCCCTGAGTGCCCACCTGTGTTCCCCCCTGAGTGCCCACCTGGGTTCCCCCCTGAGTGCCCACCTGTGTTCCCCCCTGAGTGCCCACCTGCGTTCCCCCCTGAGTGCCCACCTGTGTTCCCCCCTGAGTGCCCACCTGGGTTCCCCCCTGAGTGCCCACCTGTGTTCCCCCCGAGTATCCACCTGTGTTCCCCCCGAGTGCCCACCTGTGTTCCCCCCGAGTGTCCACCTGTGTTCCCCCCTGAGTGCCCACCTGCGTTCCCCCCTGAGTGCCCACCTGTGTTCCCCCCTGAGTGCCCACCTGCGTTCCCCACTGAGTGCCCACCTGTTGACCGTTGTCAGTGACAGGACGGTGGCGTGAGCGTGCAGATGCCTCTTCAGTTCCCTGCTGTCCGTCCTTTTCCGCAGACACCAGAAGCAGAGCCGAGGAAAATGCACACTGTCTTCCACGTGGCTGTGTCATTCTGAATTCCCACCAGCAGTTCACGGGGGTTCCATTTTCTCCACATCCTCAGCAACACTTGTTATTTTCTGTTTTTTCGATAGTTGCCACCCAAAGAGTGTGAAGTCGTATGGGAAGTGATGCTGAACTTCTTTTCCCAGTTACCTATTGGCCATTTGTATGTCTTCTTTGCAAAAATATCTATTCCATTTCTGTGCTCACTCTTTAATCAATTGTTTTCTTCTTCCCTTTGCATCCCCTCAGGACTGCGCCCCCGGGTATTATAGAGGGAAGCTCCTGGAAGGCGGGGGCCGGGGACCGCGCCCTCTGCTTGCTCCCTGCGTCCCCTGCAGTTGCAACAACCATAGTGACACCTGTGACCCTGAAACTGGAAAGTGCCTGGTATGCTGGATTGTGGGTACTTGCCTGAAGCCAGAATCTGGCAGGTGCTCAGTGTGCAAATGACTGCTCCACAGTTAGGCCAGTCCCTTAGTTTAGCTAGAGGTTAAGCTGAGCTAAATATAAGATATATTTCCTTGAGGAAGGCGTACTAGATGCTCTGACAGTGTTGGTGGAAATTCTATTATAAATTTTGCTTCTTTGATGCATTTGTTTGTGGGCGTTAATTTGGGAATTGCAGTCACAGACCATGTAACCAACCACATTTGAGTTGACTGCCCATGTATACAATGGTAATCCTCTAAGATTAATAGTCCTGCACTTTTCCATACCTTTTCTGTGTGTAGATATATTTGGATCCATAGATACTTACCATATGTCACAGTTGCCTACAGTATTCAGTATAGTAACATGCTGCACAGGGGTGTGGGCCAGAAGCAATAGGTGGGACCCCGTGGCCTAGGTGTGTAGTAGTAGGCTAGACCATCTGGGTTTGGGTGAGGACACTCTGTGATGGTCTAGCGAGTCCATCTCACTAGGCACTGAATTTCCTGCTGGTGCATTTCCGAGACAGTGTCCCCACTGTTACACGTGCACAGCGCCGGCCCGTGTACCTGGGTCTTCCTTTCAGCACTTGTACCTGGAGTCAAAGTAAATGAGAACTTTACCTGAAAGTTTAGAGGCTCACCTGGAGGTCCTAACACAAGCTACTGCCCATGTTAGAATTTTGTTTCTGTGTAAAATATTGCCCTCACATTGCATGTTTTAAAAATTGCATATGTTCCTGGGAGAAGGTAACACAAGAATGATTTATGTCTTAGTGTGTGTTTGGTTCTGGGCCACCTTCCTCCAAGATTGATCTCAGGGACGTGAGAAGAGATCTGACCACTGAGAAACACTGAGTGCTCCCAACAGAAGCCTGTGGCCCTGCGGACAGACTCCTGTGTCCCAACGGAAGCCTTGTGGCCCTGAGGACAGACTCCTGTGTCCCAACGGAAGCCTTGTGGCCCTGAGGACAGACTCCTGTGTCCCAATGGAAGCCTTGTGG